TGATGCCCAGGATGGGCAGTGAGCTGGAAGGGAGAGAAGGGTGAGGAGGCCATTAGCAGGAGGCACTAGCGCCTGGATGAGCAGCAGATGGAGCATTCTGTGCTGTCCTCCGGAGGTGAGGGGGTACAGAGGAAGGATGGGCACAGGCGGCTTGGCCGAAGGCCTTAAAGAGGCAGCATTCATGGGGCACAGCATTGTGCCCTCCTGACTCGTTCACTGCCTGTTCAAACCCACGGGGAGCTCGGCCCACCCCAGTGCTGGATGAGCTCCTGGGCAGAGTTTGCTTTATCGACTCACTTCTAGGTAACAACAACAACAACAAAGGGCATTGTAAAGGGCATGCTGCCCTTTGTAGATTGACAGTAAAAGAATCACTCAGTGGCCTAAGCCTGGTGTTGCAACCTATAATTCCAGCCATTCTAGAAGTTGATGTAGGAGGATTGCAAGTTCAAGACCAACCTGGGCTACAGAGCGAGTTCAAATTCAGCCTGAGATACTGGCTCAAAATAAAAACTGATGGAGGGCTGGAGATTTGGCTCTGTGATGCACCACCTGCCTAGAATCCCCCCGTGAGGGTCTGGGGGCGTGGCTCAGGGGTAGAGCCCCTGCCTAGAATCCCCCAGTGAGGGGCTGGGGCGTGGCTCAGTGGGAGAGCACATGCCTAGAATCCCCCCGTGAGGGGCTGGGGGCGTGGCTCAGGGGTAGAGCCCCTGCCTAGAATCCCCCAGTGAGGGGCTGGGGTGTGGCTCAGTGATTGAATGTTTGCCTAGCTTACACAAGGCCCTGGTTTCCATCCCCCAAACCCATAATTTATTTTTAATTTGTTTCATCTATATAGACACTTGGCAGTTCTGGTTTCAATCCTATGCAGCAACGTTCTCACTGAGGATCCATAATCTTCCCTAAGCAGTTTTCTTGGTGATCAGGTCATTCAGGGTTCCTCAGGCTGTGTGACCCAGAGTCTGCTATCTCTGTTAAAAGGCCGGCCTCATGAGTGCCAAGGTCTGTCTTGCCCAGGACATGGTGCCCCAAGGTGCTCTGGTCCCAGGAGAGTTGCTTATTCAAAGGTAGAAGGCTGTAGTGTTCTGGAGTCTAGGCCTCTGGGCTTCCTGGCCACCTGCTCTTCACGCCTCAGTAAGGCTGTTGACACCCACATCTTGTGGTCAATGGGTCATGAAGGAGCTTTATATTGGCAGCTGGGCTTGGGGACAGGATAAGCAGGTACCTGATGGTTGCCAGGAAGCCGAATCCTGACCTCATCAGCCTCAGGGCTGCCTTCTGCTCCTTCGAGAAGACCTTGCCCTTGGAGGTCTTTGGAGACCCCTGGCTTGACTGACAGCCTCATGAGAGTGGCTCTGTGCGTTACAATTCTTGCATCCCAACAAGGGGGCTCTGCCAGATGTGGGTTTCTGTTTTATGGTTGTTGTTGTTGTTGTTTTGTGTTTTGAGATGAGGCCTCAAGCAGCCGGGGCTGGTGTCAGACTGCTCTGTATGGTGTCATGATCTCACCTTCCAATCCTACAATCCCTTCCTCCTTTATGCTAAGATTACAGGCAGCAACACCGTGCCCCGATTATGTAGTGTTGGGCATAGAACCCCGGGATTCATCCTTACGAGGCAAGCACTCTACTCACTGAGCCAAAATGGCAAATTTGAACTCACTCAATGCTTGTCATATATACTGATAAGTTTGTTAGTAGTTGAACATTGCTGGACTTCATCGTGGGTCTAAAAACCCCTAAAACCTCTCTCTCAATGTAAAAAAGGGGGGCACCTGGAGAAACGGCTCTGAAAAGCACCAAATATTCTTAACTGCTGAGATAACACTCCAGCCCCCCCAAATATTTATTTACATGTGTGTGGGGGTGCATAGTGTGTACATATCGGTCAGAGGACACCTTTTGGGGGAGTCAGTTCTCCCCTTCCACCTTGTGGGTCCTGGGAATCGAACTCAGGTTATCAGGTTCGGAGGCCGGTGCCCGTGACCACTGCCGTCTCCTCAGCTCTCTGTTTAAATGGCATGTAAAGTCCCACTGGCCCCCAAAGAAGTTAATGGTGCTCACAGGAAACCAATCTGGGCACAAAGAGGGAGTGGGTGCCATGCTCTGGCACTGGGAAGGATGAGAAGGGAGGAAGGGAAGGAACGGAACCCTTCTGGGGATCCTCTGGTGTGCCAGGAGTTGCACGTTCCTTGCCTCTGTGGTTGGTTGAGCAGATAAATGTAGGATTGGGTCCTTCAGTCAGTAGCCAATGTCTACGCTGTTTCTCTGGGTGGTATCCCATGTTGAGGACAGCTGTGAGGGCCAATCCACATCCTCGTATTTCTTTGTTATTGTTGTTTTTTGAGACTGCATCTCAATGTAACCCAGGCTAGCCTCCTATCTCCCTGTCTCAGGCTTCCCAGTTCTGGTATTACAGGATTGTACCACAACACCTAACTTTTTTTTTCTCCTTTTACTCATTCTTCAAGAAATGTAAAGATGGAATTTGGAGTTGAGGA